CTTTTGTGGAATGTGAGAATAGAATAGTTTTCATGATGAGCCAGTATTAAACAGAATCATTGGGCAGATTAGAGAAAAAGTGAAATACTAGAGAGGTCAGTTCTTAATTTTGAATGCTCAAGATGACCCATTTAAGGCTGGGTCTGTTTAGAAGCCAACTTCCCCTTTGGAATTTCCTGGAAGAAGTGAGTTGAATTCCAACCAATGTCTACATATACCAAGAAAGAGCAATTCAAGTGTTGAACAAAAAGACACTTGGATTTCTTCTTTCTTTTTCAGGTTGATGGAGTTTAGCCCTCCAGTGCTCAAGTAAATTAAGTCACGGTCCCATCAACTTGGGAATCGTGAAGGTCCCATCACCAATAGAAGGTCCCCCGGTTGAGGAAGGCTGATGGAGTTGTATCGTCCGGTCATAGCATGTTGTGGTTAGCCGGCAGCAGGTGTGGACGGCTGAGGAGAGCAAGGACTCAGAAGGGGGGCCAGGACTATTATCTGTTGTGTTTTGGCAGACTTGCAAAAACTTGGCAAGGTTCTTTCTTGTCGGAGCTAATTAGTTAATTATCTGTGAAGAAACAGAATTCTTAGCTAAAACATTAAAAGATTGTACTGCTGCCTTTATCTTGTGTTTGGTCTCTTGGAACCAGGTTTGGGTCAGAACATAACATAAACAGTGCCTCAACCTCAACAACTAAAAAATGCGTGGACTTCAGCTCCCAGAATCCCCCAGCCAGCATGGGAATTCTCCCGGGGAACCCTGGGAATTGAAGTCCATACATTTGCAAAGTTTCTCAGACTGAGAAGTTCTGCTGCAAAAAGATTCTAAACTCCTTGTATTTGATGGCTTTTGTTCGTTTTCTTCTCTGTATGCAGCTAAATCTTCTTTGGTGAAAGAAAATGTGACTGCAAAGTAGTCTTACTAACACTTTGCCAACTAACCTCTCTTCTTTCTCTCTCTCTCTCTCTTTTCCTCTTCCTTTCTTTACAGCTTTTTCTGCTTAAGGTTGTCTGTGGCTTCACTTCCTCTAGAGATTAATGTGTGATGTCCCAACCTTCTTAACGTAAAAGGCCTTCCTAAATCTTCTTAGGTGTGTATTTTTGGGGGGCGTTTCTCAATGCACGTTTTCCAAAATTGCATGAGGGGAATGTTGCATGTCCTGGAATGCTAGCGGAGATCGGCACAGGATTTGACGACAGGTAGTCCTCGACTTACGACTGCAAAGGAGTCCACATTTCATGTTGCTGAGGGAAATCCCCTCAGCTGTTGAGTTAATAACACATTTGTGAAGGGGATCTGGATTTCCCCATAGAACTTTGCTAGTCAGAGGGTTGCAAAAGGGGATCGCATGACGCCCCCCTCAGGACACTTCAACCGTCATAAGTATGAATCAGTTGCCAAGTGTCTGAATTTAGATCAGGTGACCATGGGGATGCTTGCAACATGGTCATAAGCGTGAAAACTGATCGTAAGTCACTTTTTTCAGTGCCCTTGTACAAAGGTGGGATTCAAAAATCCCAGCAACCAGTTTGCTGCCCAGTTGGCATGGGCAACTGGTGGGCGTGGCCTACTGGAACTTTTTCACCTTCCCAAGGATCCAGAGGCTTCCCTCGGGCCTCTAGGAGGGAGAAAATGGCCTCCCCAAGTCTCTGGAGCTCCTCCGGAAGCCGGAAACAGGCCCATTCCAGGACTTCCGGTACTTCCGAAAGGCCCGTTCCTCCCCCCTCCCAGAGCCTTCGCGCAGACCTTGTACTTCCCTGCATCGAAAATGGACCATGTGGAGACCCCTGGGAGGAATGGAGAAGGGTGTCCGGGGCCAGCCAGTCAGTTTAAATACTGGTTCAGTAAACCTGATGCAAATTTAACATCCAGTTTGCTCGAACCGGCCCAAACCGGATAAATCCCATCCCTGCCCTTGTAACTTCCAACTATCAGTAAACAAACAGTTATAAGTCGAATCCCTCCTATATAGAATTTAATTGCCTAATAATAAGGTAACACCTAAGGCCGTTTTTAGGAAAAAAGAAAAAGAATAAAAATAAGAAAAAAGACAATAAAGAAAAAAGTTTGCAGTCCCCTTTGTTGATCAAAAAATAGTCTGGTTTTACAGATTAACAGAGTTGGAAGGGACCTTATAGGTCATCTAGTCCAACCCTCCACCCAAGCAGGAGACCCTACACCATTTCCGACAGACGGCAGTCCAGTCTCTTCTTGAAAGCCTCCAGGGATGAAGCTCCCACAACTTCTTAAATCTAGCTATACAAACTATCTGGAAGGATAGATAGCTCAGGGATACGTCGTATGGAAGAAAATGGAAAGCTTTTATATACCGAAGCTGGCTTTACTCCAAATTTTGAAGGTGTTAAATGTATAAATAGCGCAGGGCATGCCGCAGGTTTAACTAGAATTCTTCTCAGCAGATTGGTGGCTGGCTTTTTCCTAGTCTCTTCATTTAGTTACTAATGATGAAGCAGACAAAAACTGAGCTAGCTGTACCTGGATGAATAACCAGAAAATAATTAGAGGAAACGGTGCAGAAAAGTCTCATCCATCTTTCGAAGAAGAGTTTAGTACATTTCTTTCCCAAATTAAAAAAAAACTGTTACAGCAGTCTTCCTTTATATAGTTTCTCATCACACCAGGCTTCCAAAGGGAGTTAAACAATGGGAGGGAATAAATGGGTAGCTTTACTCCACTCAACGGGCGTTGAAAAAGAGGGGAGATTTGAACTAGAGTCTAGTGAACACTTGATTTTACAGGAAGTCCTTGACCTTTGACCATAATTGAGCCCCAAATTTCTGCTTTGGCTTTGCTTGTCAGATGGTTGCAAAAAGAGATCACATGACACTGTGACCATCATAAATATGAGTCAGTTGCCAAGCATCTGAATTTTGATCACTTGACTGTGGGGATGCTGCAACGGCCGTACGTGTGAAACATGCTTCTAAAGTCACTTTTTGCGGTGCTGTTCTGACTTTGAACGGTCACTAAATGATTGGTTGTAAGTCGAGGACTAGCTGTCTTCCAACCAGTCCTCTCTCTTGATTCTTGGGAGAATTTTATTCTCGTGGAGCCAGCTTTACCCAACTCAACTTTACCTTTTACAAAGGTGGCATGTGAGAGTGCCCTTGGTACACAGAAGGAGGAGGTGCAGAATGGAGAGCAAGTCCGATTAGAGGCAGCTGAGCCCTCAGCACTCATTCTGTTCTGACCAAGACTGATTGAGACACTAAACAAACACACGTTAGCCCCAAACCCCTTTTTTTCTTTATTTCAACGGCTGTGAATTTTAGTCATTCACAGCCCGTAATGAGTCTCCAACAGTTTGTAAATAGTCGCGTGGAAGTCTGCCAAAGTCCTTCAGGATAAGTCTGATAAGCCCGCACCTTTATCTTCCTTGAAATGCCGCCAATGACTAAATTTCCAATTAGTTATACAAGGCCAACCAGAGCACAAATTCAACACTGAGCTTCAGATTTCAAACCGACCAGTACGAACAAAGTTGCTTCCTGCAAAGGTTCCTGTCCCTTTGCTCCTCTTTTATGTCTTATGGGAGGGCCAATCACCTCCAAGCCTTACTCCAGAGTCACACCTTTTGTCTTAACTGTTCTGGCAGCTCTGCGCACACGTGCACTGGGAACAGGGTCCCCTTGTTCCTCTGCCTCGCTGCTGTCAGATTCTGGAGGCTCCAGAGTCAGCATCCCACTCCCCAATGGCCCTAGCCCCATCTCTGTATCGTATGCAGGACCCTCGTCCCGAGTCCTCCCCAGACTCCTGGACTGGCCCCTGTTCCTCTCCACTGTCTGACTCTGCTACTGTCTCTGCAGGCTGCCGGTGGACCAGAACACATTCTTGACCATAGCAAAGAGGTCTTTTAATTGATCTATCTTTTACTATAATGGCATGCAAGCATGGAAAGATGTCCGTCCTTTCTTTGGTCTGTCAATTGCATTTCATTGTTAGTCTCTAAAGCGTTTCCAGCATGTGGTATGAAGTTTTTCCGCTCTGGGTTGGTTATTATATCTTAGATTCTATCATTAAAACCTGGAAGTATTTTTGAATTGCATTGTGGTGTGGCTTCGTCTACATCAGAGGCGTCCAACCTTGGTGACTTTTTAAGACCTCTGGCCTTCAAACTCCCAGAATTCTTTTGTCCCATTTTATGTCATCCCTGCAATTGTTACAGTTAGTAGCATATGGTTGTTAAATGAATCTGGCTTCCCCATTGACCAGGCGTGTCAGAAGGTCACAAAAGGGGATCCCATGACCCTGGGACCACGGGTGGGATTTCACCGGTTCGGTGATCAGGCACTTTGCGTGCACGCTCCGCATTTTAAAAAGGCACGCCCATACTTAACATTCAGCTGCAACCTTTGTGAAGAAAACAGCCGAGGCTTGGGAAACTGCTCTGCTGCGTGAACCAGCTGTGCTCTAAACAAAGGCATAATGCATAGGCAACAGTGTGAGCAGGCAGTCTTACTTCCTCGTCGCAGCAAACTGGTTCAGAACGAGCTGAACATTGGAACAAGGGGTTCGTCCGAACCGGTCTGAATGATAGGATCCCACCCCTGCCTGGGACACTCCCAACGGTCGTAAATATGAGCCAGTTGCCAACATCCGAATTTTGATCATGTGACCACGGGGATGCGGCAATGGTCACACATGTGAAAAATGCTCCTAAGGCCTTTTTTTCAGTGCCGTTGTAACTTCGGACGATCATTAAACGTTGATAGTGCAGGTAGTCAAGTTGAAGTCCACAAGTCCTAAAGTTGCCTAGGTTGTAAGTCAAGTTGAAGTCCACAAGTTCTAAAGTTGCCTAGGTGGTAAGTCAAGTTGAAGTCCACAAGTCCTAAAGTTGCCAAGGTTGTAAGTCAAGTTGAAGTCCACAAGTCCTAAAGTTGCCAAGGTTGGACACCCCTGATCTCCCTTTTTCTCCTGATTCATGTCACCCTAATTTTTGTCCTTTGCCCTATCAGTGACCAAGCCAGACCTTTTGAGCCCAACCATGGATGACTATGATATCCGATCTGCAGCGAGCATCTTGGCCTCTGTCAAAGAACAAGAGGCTCGCTTTGAGCGGCTCACCCGAGCCCTGGAGGAAGAACGCCGCAATGTCTCGCTGCAGCTCAAGCAGGCCAACCAGCCCTCGGATCGCATAAATGTCTGCAACATTGGCAGTGGGCAGCCCCTGGCGACTGCTTGGCAGCAGCTGGTTCTGCAGGTAAAGGACCTGCTCTTCTCTTTTGATTCCCCCACAACGCCAGATTGGCATGTCTGTGAATGGTTAAAACGGTGTGGTCTTTCCCCGTGATTCCTGCAATGTGTTATTTTTTCTCTCTCCCCTTCCCATCGTTTCAATCCCGTGAGCAGATAAAGTGAGCATGGAATGGTCATTGCTTCCTTGGATTTTGGATTTGGGGCTGGCATTTAACGTGGCGAAGATGGTTGGTTGCAAGGCTTGGAAGGTGATCAGGTAAAAATAGAAGATAACGTTTGTAGCTTAGGCGTTGTGGCCTGATGGCCGCCAGCCCCTCCAGCAGCCAAATCAGACGAGGAGGTAAGGTGGGAGTCAGGGTCAGCATCTAGGCAACCTATGAGCTCCGAGGGGGAAGAGGAAATGGAGATGGCAGAGAGAGAAAGAGAGAGAGGCGGAGCCTGGACAGTCGGTCAGCCCTCAGATGGAGAGTCAACAGCCCCCAGGTCTAGAGGTGGCTGATGAGGAAGAGGAGGAATAGCTGGGTCCAGTGCCTGACGCGCAGATGCACAGAAAACAGAGGAGAGGAGAGCAGGGGAAATCTATGGGCCGGTCCTTGGGACGGAAGAGCCACCGCTGCTAGCAAAGCCCCACCCTAGCTCTGGGGATAAAAGGTGGAGAGGAATAGGTGTGACAAACAACTATTCATCTCCCTGCTGGAGAGACTTGTTAGCCTGCTGTGATAATAAAGGAATAATTGATTGATTACAGAGGGTTTGTTGTGTTTGAGGAGCTGGGTCAGAACATTAGGGTTGAACAGCGAAGTCCTTGGTGCTCTTTGAGCTTGGTGGCTTTCTTGCAGAAGGTTCATGACCAAACAGGTCACATTGTCAGGAGAAAACCCCAACTTCCTGCTGGCGCTGATGTTGTTACCTAGTTGGGTCATGAAATGTCTGCGAGAAAACCCTCAAAGCTCAGAGAGCACCAAGGACTTCCACAGATGATCAGGTGCACAGCAAAACAACTGTTTGTGATCTGTTGATTCACACCTCTGGTTTGTTAGAAGAGAAAAATGGAGCTTGATCCAAATGTTGATAACCAACCAAATTTGAGCCGTCTAGTTCTATACCCATGACAGTTTTATGCATTATCTTGATGGTTTACATGAGTATGGTCCGTGATCCAGAGAATGGGCTTCTTTAGGAATTATTTTGATTAATAACATGTATGTTAAAACCGGTACCAGGGATTCCAGCAACAACCGCCATGTGGAAGGTCCCAAGCAGGCTTTCACTTCTATCATCTGTAGATTTTGTGTGTGTGTGTGTGTGTGTCAATGCAACACTTCTGGGGAAGAATGTATTGATAACTGAGAACGAGGAACTTAGCTGCCCAGCTATTGTGCTGTTAAAATGACCCACTTCTATGTCTTCAATAAGGGAGCGCTATTATAAGCAGTCTTGCAATTTGGTGCCTGCAGAATTTCAAGAATTTCCAATACATCTGAAGGTTCCTAAGGATGGGAGGGGAAACTGCTTAGTAATGCATTTGTCAGTCTCTTGAGATGTTCAGGTGAGACACTTCTCCATATCACCTTGTTAGAGGAAGTATGCTAAGTACGTGAAACAATTTCTTGATTTTGCTGTATCTCCTCTCTGTAAGGCTGATGCTCCAATTCTCTCTGTAACATTTCATTGCAAAGAATTAATTTCTCCTTTAGCTTTTTAAAACTAAGCCTTGCTGGTTAATATATTGCGTTGTTCTCCCGTCCTTTGCTGGTTTTGTAACAAAGCTTTTGTCTCTTATTTAAATTACTATACGTGTGTTGTTAAACCTCCACGCAAATTCCCAATAGAGTGGAGTGTGTAAATATCTTAGAGACATGTATTTTTTTCTTCGCTTTCGGCATATGGAGTCATTGCTTTAGGAAACGGAAACTGAAGTAGGCCAAATCAAATTTCATTGTCTCCAGCTTCGGAATTAACCTAATATACTGGTCTTTCTGGAAAAAAAAATCTCTCTGTATTTATTATTCTTTCTTGACCAGTTATAAATTATTTTCTCCATCTGTTGAGAAATGTTATGCTTGAAAGGGAGCTGCGTTTGCAATGGATTTTTAATTTTTTATGCTTTATTTTTGGGTGTGTGCGTGTGTGTGAGCAAGAGGGAAGTCTGCAATATATTGATTTCTGTTCCGCCAGCAAGCAGAGTGACCTGAATCTTCCTCAAGCTAGCAAAAGACCTGAATTTTAACAAGCCGCCAGTGTTTACTTAGGCTAAACAAACTCTATTTCACACACCCAGCAAGTGCTGGGAAGCTGTGGATCAAAATACTAATGGCCATATGTCACCCTGGACATTAGTCGCATCTTTTTTAAAACTCTAAAAATCTGACCTTGGAGCTAGGAACCATATCTCTATCTCTATCTCTATCTCTATCTCTATCTCTATCTCTATCTCTATCTCTATCTCTACCTCTACCTCTACCTCTATCTCTATCTCTATCTCTATCTCTAATCTATCTATCTCTATCTGTCTATCTATCTATCTATCTATCTATCTATCTATCTATCTATCTATCT